TATATTTATTTAAAAACATCGTAAAAATGTAGTTTTATTTGTTATATTTGAATGAAAACATGGTTACAATGTTTCACATATTAAATCCAATGTTTTATTATAATTATATTTAATTAAATAAAAAGTAATAACTATTTACAAGAAAAGTCGCGATTTGTGGCTATCGTTTGAGCAGATCTTATGGATTATATAACGGAATCGTATGAATCAATGCATGAATTCATCAAAAGTTTGATATTTTTATACAAATCGTATGAAACATTTCTCAGTGAAAGGCTTATGAAATTGAAATGAGTGTAAGATTTATCGCCAAATCGCATATATTTCACTGAAATTCAAAGTAATGAGCTCTTGGTATGGAAAAATATATTTATAAGTTATATATAGTATTAAAAAAGTATAATCTATTAAATTGTAATTATAAACTCCGACAATTCAAGTTTTTCAATCAACATGTTTTACTATACAATCAACTGCTCGACCAATAAGTATATGGAAAACCAACGCTTACTATAATATAACTACAACTAAATCAAAGGGTAATCAATAGAAATAATACAAAATATGGAGAAAATGAAAAAAATAACAAATTTTGTGAACAATTTTGAGACTAACTGATAAATAATTCATATCCAATCGTATTGTGATCTCATTATAAGGCAAATAATTTAATGCTTTTTAATAATAATAATAATTATAGCAATAATATAATCAATAAAAGATTAAATAACAGACTTTCGCGAGAGAGAGAGAGAGAGAGAGAGAGGGGGAGAGAGAGAGGGAGAGAAAGAGTATACAAAAATAGATAATTAGACAAAACTGTGTGTGTTTTGCACAGCATTTCTAGCAATCATTTGATTTTCTTAACAATAATTTCGTCAGAATTACTGCGAGTCTGAGAGCGAAGCCTTTTGTCGGAGAACTTCCGCTTAATCGACGGCTTAGTCTCGGTCTCGGAGGCCAGAAATCGGGTGATCATCACCGGCTCAGCGCTACGCTTAGCCCTCTTGGGGCCGCCGATAATGTGGGGTTCGTTTCGCACCTCATTTATGATCACAATGTCGTCATCCGAGTCCTGCTTCTCATCGGCCGTCAACCGCAACGTCTGCTCATTGGAGCGCTTCATCGAAATGCTATCACTTTTGCGGTTAATATTACTGTTATTACTCTTGTCGTGCAGTACGGGAACCATTTGAACCATAATCTTGTCCTCGACTTCACTCTTAACCGGAAGCAGTCCCTCGTTGGCGGAGAACATAATGATCGGCGCGTTCACTGAGCTCTCGATCGAGGGCTCAGTAATGGATATTTGGGTCACTTTCGTGTCGCCGACGTCCACACACGTGCCCATACAGTCGTTACGGCCGCACTCATAGCATAAGACACTACCCATAGTGACGACTTCGCTGTTGGTCGTGGAGACCACCTCCTCGTCGTTGTAGGTGTTCTCCGACTGAGTGCCAAACTCCGAGCCATTAATACTGGAATTCTCGTCCGGAATGGACTCCTCGTCGGAATCGCGGCAACTGTGACCCCATTCCGCCTCAACTAACTCCAGACAACACGGGCAGTGAGTTATCCTACAAACAAAACACGCAATCCATTAATACCTCGATTATAATCATTCAAATCAAACACCAATTCAACACAAATAAACACAAAATAGAGTAAAAAGTGTGCAATACTTGGCCACTTCGACGTCAATGGTAATGCAGTGCTTCTTAACCAACCGGGACTTCCAGTTGAGACCCGTGTCCAGACGCATATACCTGTCCAGTCGCTGGCGGCGCGTAAAGCAGTACTCGTGGCTCTCGCTCCGGGGGCCCCACATCTTATC